CATCGCAGCCAATACCATGGCAAGAATCTAATCCAGCTAGCAATCCAGTAAGAAAACAAGCATCGTGTGCTGCTGGCTTAACTCGAAAATTTAATAAATTGATTCTATTTATTATCTAAAAACACAAGGTCTGTTCGCGTTGCATGAAATATTTTTGCACTTAAAATGAGATAAATATATATTTGGCTTTGAAAAAAAAGCGAAGATGCCGACATGTGATGTCTGATATACATTAAATGTTATTAATATGCGGCACATTTTTCATTTCTTACAGTTGATTTCAAGGAAAATTTAAGTCCAAAAGTTTTTACTGACGATTACAAAAATAACATATTCATTTATAATGCCAAATATCACATTAACTGACATTATTTAGGTTCTATACACGATACGGTATATATTTTAACCCTTAATACACACTCATCGTCATTCGTGTCCTGCGCATTTCTTTTCTTTGAAATACTAAGAGCACCTGGTCAAATATCGATCTCTTTTTTATTCCTAAAAAAAGTTTGGCATTTAGAGAACAAGTTTGGTGTATTACCGGCCTCAATTCGTGCACATCCTTTAATTCCTTAGCTATCAGGCGAAAATCAGCTTTTCGTGCCATTTTTGTCTTGGAAAAAAATTTTCATTGATTTATCCTATAATTTTAGTGTTATGGTTTTGGAGGTCGCTGAATCCGAATCTGAAATCGGATTTTCAAAATTCAAAATGACGGATCCAATATAGCGGACGCAAATTCGAAAAATGGTTTAATTTCTACAAAAATTTGTATCTCTAGATGTTCGTGATCGCGAATTTAGAATTTGAGTCCTGACTCTAGGTATCTGAAATTCGGATACATTATGACGAATAAAAATTCAGCAAACCATTCATGGTTTACAAATTGGAGATACAAATTTTTGTAGAAATCAAACCATTTTTCGAACTTGCGTCCGCCATATTGGATCCGCCATTTTGAATTTTGAAAATCCGATTTCAAATTTGGATTCAGCGACCTCAAAAACCATGATTTAACAAATTACAGTCGAATCGATGAAGTATAAACATGTTTTTTTTCAAATGCGCACATATGTGTCATTAGACGAAAATGGCACGACTTTTTTCTGCGCATATGTGCGTCACTGACACTCAAGGGGTTAACTGGCATGGGTGGCACCCAGTTGGACACGGCTCAATTGGACACGAGCCACTCACAGCGCTTGAGACTACAAAGCTCCTAAGCATCGGTCGCTGTGATTGGTGGTGTCCAATCGAGTCGTGATCAATCGGGATCACCCCACTGGCATAACTCCAAACCTCAGGGTCACAAATGACCCAATGTGTGTACATTTTTTGTAACTAAAAACTTTTTATTTTTTCTTTATTTTCAACTAATTCTCGGTTGTATTGTGAAAATATTTCGCGAATTATTAAAAAAAAAATTTAACTCTAGAACAACATATTAGTCCTTAATAAACATGATTTTTGGTGGACCCTGCTTGTGCTAAATGTTGTCAGCAATATTATATATTATGTTGTCTGTAATGTTATAAGAACATTTTCCTAATAAATTATAAGTTTTCTTAACATAATAGCAATAATAAAACGAATTTTTTAAAACATAAATACAATGTATCTTCAATTTATAGCCATTCATGCATATTAAAAAAACATCATTTTCAGGTTACTCAATAACTATACTTTTTGGACAGCCAACACTTGAATTATTTTTGTTTTTCTTTTTTGTAGTTTGGAATATCAATTTTTAAATATTGGACTATATTTTTTCTTTAAACATTTTTTTGTTTTAGAGTTTTATATTTTTACATGAAACAGTATATTTTTCTCATTTTGTTAACTATATTTAGTTATAACAATTTATCTGCAATTTATTATGAATATGTAACTGTACAAATACTTTCTAAAGATGTCAAAATATAGAGGAAAGCCCCCTATTATGAGATAGGCGCTTAATATGAGATAGCGGTGTTTCTGCTGAACTAATAAACGCTATCTATATATATTAGTTCCATCATGAATTTATTGCTCTTGGATTGAAAACTATTTAGTAGAAAATTCATTATTAGATCATGCCTGTAGTCATTGTAAAACAAGATTTTAGAATTTGAATGTCTTCAAGTTTCATTGAGATGAGCCTTTAAACCTTGTTTATTATTTAATAAATAAATATTTGGCAATAAATTCTTCATATAGTGATAAAGTAAAGTCGTACTAATAGAAAAATACGGGATATGTTAAATTATTTAATTACAGAAGTTAGATTTGATGATCGTAAAATCATAAGATTTGGAAATCGTAATATGAGATACCCAGGGTATTTCTATGATATTCCTAATATGAAATAACCCATGCTCCTATGTTATAGTGAAAATCGTTGCTAAAGTATAAATATTATTGTACAATAATAAAAAAGACAATCGGAATGAACGTCGAGTGCCTATTTCTGCGATGCTTGATTCCAACTACATGAAGACGAGTTCCAGGTACAACCTATCGCATGCTCACTTTTCGCGCGTACTGACTGTGTTTGTTTGTATTTTAGAAACATTAAAAAGAAGTTTTTTAATTGCAATACTGATATACTTTGCGTTTTACTATCGATTTCTCGGGGCATCTTATATTAGAAGCACAATTTTTTAACTTTGTGATTTGCTCACTTTACATTTCTTTAATTTTCAAAAAAAATGAAATTTGAATTAAATTTTATATATAATGTTATCTTAAAGCTTATTAAATTCCCTTCAAACCTATTATTTTTTAAAATTCTGCCTATAGACTTCTAGCATTTACCCAAAATGTACTCGGTATCTCATAATAGGGGCCTTTCCTCTATGTATAAATCATTTAATAATTTATATATACTTGTAAAGGTAATGAAAATTAATCCAAGACACGAATGACCGAACGTGTGTAATAAAGGTGTCAAAAACTACGGTGTGTACTAAGGGTTAATTTATAAAAGTATGGAATTTCATCAATTTAAAATTTGAGTAACTTTTGTCTGAAACTGTATAGCCAGAACATCCTTAAAGGTTAATGCGGCGCTATATATGTATGTATAGTCAGGGTCTAAAAGTAACACTTTTTTTTAACTTTTATTATTACTTATGGATCCATAAGTAAGAACCAATCACTTGGTGAAGATACTGCACACCAAAACTTATTTTTAAAAAAGTGTTGCAACCTTTTAGACCCTGACTGTACATGTACTTTGGTCGATATTTATTTAGAACTGCTACCTCACCTTCTAATTTAACGAAATTAGACTCATTCGACACATTTTTACTCAAAATGAAAGCCTGCTTTGCTCATGCAATGTACAAAAAGTTGTAAACTCATATAGAATCGTTCATCATGGGTTTACAACTTTCCACGCGAAGCGCGGTTCCACATAGGTTCCCAATTTTGCACGTAAAGCAAGATTTAATTTAAAAAATTAAAAAATTTGGGTATTCATCTGTTTTAAAAACACAAATTCTCTACTTTAAAACATTCTCCACTGCAAAAACAAAAATTAAATAGAAAATAATGATTTTTAAAACAGAAAATTTGTATTCTTAAAGCAGAGGATTAATTTTTTAAATAGAGAATTTATGTTTATAACACACAAAATTTGTATAACCCTCTATGCCATTAATGCGACAGATTTTTTAACCTTAATAATTGTTAATTTTAATGCTGATTCTACAATAAGTGGGTAATCGGAAATCTTAAGTCTTAACTAGTTTTAACCTAAATAGATGACTTAAGTTTTTGCATCTACTAGTTGTTAGTTATACAGCAAGCCATTTAACTCGACTAATGGGAAGGAATAAAGTCAAATTTGGTCAGTCTTAAGAAAATCAAGTCTTAGTTATACAAACTTGTTGTTGGCCAATTTCATCGATCCGCCGATAAGACTCAGGACTACCGACTCATTGTAAATTCAGCTTAACGTTTAATATCTTGATTCACAGGACAAAGCGACTCTTTTTTTCTCCCAGATTTGTTCATTTTATACAAAAACACATCAAATAAACTTAATTTCATCAAAATCAGTAAGTGAGTCCATCTCCTTCATAATTACCTATAACTATTAATAACAATAAATATTAAAAATTAGTTATCTATTGCTTATAGTCCTACCTGAATATCGACAGTCTCGTAAACATGCTCATATACCTCCCGTACTGCACTAAGAAAATCACTTTGTAATACCTTCTGTAACGCTGCTAATTTTGTTGTAGGAACCTCTCCACCTAAATAAAATTAATCTTGTAGAATTAGATAATTGTTAAAATACATAAAATATTTTGTTCTACAATTGCTTACCTTTCTGTAGTTTATCTAATAATTCTATAGATCTTTTAATATCTACAAAAGATAAAATTTCATGTAATTTTAGTATAATTTCTACAATAATCATCAAATGTCATCAATATATTGTAACAGCATATTTGTATCAAATAAATAAAATAAGTGGCTTAAGTTTAAAAAATTGTAAACAATAAGGAGCATCCAGCCACAACGCTTGATGTATTTAGCTTAAAGCATATATTTCAAATAAAATTAAATGTTTCGGTCTAACACACATGTGACCATCTTCAGTACATTAAATTTTCATATTATAATTAAAATCGGAACATCCAGTTAACGAAGATAAAAAAGAGAAAAAAAAATTTTTTTTTACATAATAACTATACACATTAAAGAATTCATAGTTATATTTGCATCAACTTGTAAAACTGATAATAAAACTTACCTCTTGCTAAAGTGAGAGGCTCGCCCATAGTAGCCATATTTTGTTATAACAATTTGTGATTTTCTTTTCCGGTTATACTTCAATTAATGTATGTATATACTTCAAAACAGTGATAAAGATACAGTTCAAGGTTTTTATTTGCCACTGTAAAATTATGTTCAAGTAATGTTGATTCTTCTTTCGATAAATAAATAGGTCAATGCTAATTTTCAACGATTGCGCATAATCGAACAAATAGAGAACAGAATAAGAGTTTCATAAGAATTTCAAATCAAAACCCATACTGTGGAATACACAATTCCTGATAGGTTAAAATTCGTACTCTCTATTTCCTATTTCTTTAACTGTGCAGAACTTTTCACTCACACAAATTGACAAGATGAAAGTCTACAGTCTGCAGTAAACGTTGCAGCCAGTGTTGCAAGCTTGGTGGAAATAACATAGTGTGTTCAGAACTTGAAAACCACGCCCCTTTTTCGCCTCAGGAGAACTTAGGGTGCCGTCACATGCGGCGTAACTTGCGTAAGCGTAACTTGCGCCGACCAATCATATCATTTCACTTGAACATCAGTTTCTGTCTAGTCACTTTATGCTTTTTACGCTATTTTGTTGTTACGCCGAAACATGATAGAACCACCATGCGTCAAATCTAATTTCTGGCTCATTTTAGCTTATTCTATCTGAAAAAATGCACAAGGGTTTCGATTTTGCAACAGCACAATTATAGAAGTCGTGCGCCCCTTTGCATCACGTGAAAAGTCAAACCCATGTGGAACAGTACAATTATAGACCTCATTTTTCCTCTGTGATAGATTTCCTAACCTCAATAGTCATCAACTTTAACGCTTAATATCTCAGATCACAAGGCAGAACGACGTTTTTTTGCCAGATTCTTTCGTTTCATGCA